AAAACCAGGAAACTCTTTCATGAGTCAAAAAGTTCAATTTATGAAAAAACTAAAAGTCCCCCTAATACGAAGGACAAATTCCAAAACCAAGCCCCTTGGGAGAGCTCGGCAGGGAATAAGACAGTGTTAAAGAATTTTAGAATGTTTTGCTGGGGATTCCAGGGGTTCTAAGCATTCAAAGGACTTCTGTGGCTTTCCGTTTTGACTTATTAAGTGCTGCTTGAGTAGCCTAGCAATAGGTTAGCAGTTATCCATGTTTTCCTAAATTTGCTTGAACTTTTTTCATAATTCTCAGATTGTTCTTAACAGAAGCCAGGTAATGGCCCTGGTATTTCAAAAAAAAAAAAAAAAAAAGAATGAGAGCATTACACATACTTAGCAGCTGCTCAGTTAACCCCCCAGTCTCACTGCAGCGGTCAATGCTGGCACCCAGATTCTCATGTACCTTCTGCTGTTTATCAACAGTTCAACGGGACGCTAGACCCGTTTTCCAGCAGGTTGGACTCCCCACCAATAGATTGGAGCAACCGGATCGCGCACTAGGGGAGGCTCCTCGCATCACCTTCCCTAGTGATGCTGTTTTGGCTTTTCTGTTAAAAAAAAAAGTAAAAAAAAAGTTGCCTGGTCGCGCTTTGTTTCCATCGTCAACTGACCGTCCAGTGGCTTAGTCGCACAAGTGCTTTCCACAACATGTGAATTAACAAGTGACTCGTGAAGCATTGTAGCATCTATAATAGCAGCTGATGTGAATCGTTGTCGTCTCCGGACGAGAGATGGTTAACGAGGGGCCAAATATTCGCCGTTTTCGCTGCCGATTTCGGTGCAAATTTCATCAAAAAATTTAAAAACGAACGATATGAGACCATAGTGCAAACATCAAAAAAGGAAACAGGCCAAAAAGAACGAAAAAAAAAAACTAAAAAACACTATGAAACCCTAACACAAAGACACTGTTCGAGTCAAAATGAAGTGTCCAACGAATTGAACGAAATGCCAACTTTTTCATTATTGATCCAAACATGTCAAAACTGGACACACGAGGTACCCTAAAGCACATATATATCACACAAAAAGAAAAACAAGAAAAAAAGCAAGAAATCAGCACAATATGACAGTTCTAGTGCAATTCGGTGCCAAATTCGTCGAAAATAACGCCCCTGGTTAACCGTATGTGCTCCGGACCCGTACGGGTGACCGGTTGGCTGCAGTTTGCCAGTTCTGGAACTTACCGGACTTTCCAAGGATGCTGCTTGTGCTTGTGGAGGAATCATGACCCGGAACGAACTCAAGTCCAATTGAGATGGCATGACATCGTGCATCAACCACTGTTCGGCCACCCCCAAATCAAAGATCAAACAGGAACACCCTTCGCCCTCAACCAGATATTGAAATGGCTCCGGTGGTTCAAGAAGGGGATCTATTCAGTACAGGACCTATGGGATGATGCTTCTTCAGCCTGGCATTCAGAGCAAACAATCAGAGCCAAAATCGGCCGCACCCTGCACCTAGAACAATATCTGGCAGAGGTCCAGAAAGCGATCCCTTTGGAAGGGATTATAGCCCTCAGACGAGGTCCCACTATAGAGAAAGGGGACTGGGTGGTAAAGGCAAACTCGCTACACCTATCGATGACAATCTTTAGAGTGGAGAGTTCTCAACCCTCATCAGCCATGCAACTACAAGCCTACTGTCCTGCCCTTCCTGGAGCAAGATGGTCGACTATTCACAGGAAGGACAACCTAGACTATCAGACCCCGGTGGAAGATTTGATCAGAAATTTGCGTGATTGAAGAAAAAGATGAGGTGAAATATGTGTACGAACCCACAATACCCCTGTCTCATCTCCCATTCGACCCGAAGGAGTGGAAATGGCAGAGGGGAACATCATCTATCATGCATCCGTGGCAGTATACAGTGAAAAACGGATATAGAATGATGCGGACCACAACCCGGACCTCGGTGATGAATGATATTCTAACGAGATGCGAGAGGGACTCATCCCTTACCAGGGAAGACATGAAAGACCTTAAATGGTTGGCCTATACATATATTAAACCAACTAATCACAGGGCATTACAATGGCAGATCATACACAGATGTCTGCCTACTCCCGAATGGGTAAGTTAAACGCAAAGAACAAATCTTAAACAAAAACAGCAACTTTCCCCTCTCTGTACATTCTGCAAACTCACCTCCCCGAGGAAACAGGCAACACCCGAGCACTGTCTCTTAGACTGTCCGATGGTTGTGCCCATCTGGAAATGGTGGGACACTGCCTGGCACTATCTTACAGGCCAGCATTTCCCCTGGGAGGTGAAAACTATTCTCATGGGCACCCTCCCTTCAGGAACAGACTGGACCCACTTCATGCTTAATCTGTTCTACTACATCTGCCTGGCCTTGCTCATGACAGCTTGAAGAATGAGGTGTGCTCATGAGCGGGGCGATAACACATTTGCACCCTAGCAGGCCAAGGCAGTAATAGTGGATACAATAACCGCAAACACGCAGGACGACTGGAAAAACTTGAGATCCAGACTGCAAGAAGAAATTGAAATGTCCA